GCGGGGCGGGCCACAGGGCGGGCCACAGGGGGGGCCACAGGGTTGGGCACAAGGCGGGGCACAGGGCGGGGCACATTTGGTGGCGCACGGGGCGGCACATGGGGTGACACAGGGCGCGGCACATGGAGTGACACAGGGCGCGGCACACGGGGTGACACAGGGCGCGGCACACGGGGTGACACACGGAGGGTCACACTTGGCCACGAACTGCGGCACGCAGCAGGACTCCAGGCACTCCAGGCCCTTCTGGCCCGTCCCGATGGGCACGCCCGCCTCCAGCGCCCCGGCCAGCTCGGCCGACTCGGTGGAGCCCACCACGGTCTCCTGCGGGTACGTGGTGAGGATGGGCCCCGGGAAGGTGACGACCACGGGCGGTGGGAAGATGATGACCCGGGAGTCGGGGCAGGCCACCACGCAGGGCTCGGTGCAGGCGGAGGCGCGCGGTTCCGGGCAGGGCTCGGCGCACACGGTTTTCTCGCAGGACATCTTGCAGCTGGGCTGGACCTGCAAGGAGGGGACAAACATCAGTGCCAAGGAGCTGGTGGGATGGGATTGAGACCTGGGAAAGCACGAGGCGGTGGATGGGGTGATAACTGCCCTGCTCTGCTTTGCTTGGCTCTTCTCAGGGACCTTCTGGAGCCCTGGGACACCAGAACATCTCCCTGGGGTCTCCAAAACACCTCTTTTGGGACAGAAAAACACATTTTTGGGGGACACCAAAACACTTTCCTGGGGACACCAAACCACTTCTTTTGGGGACACCAAAACACTTCTTTTGGCGACACCAATACACTTTTTTTTGGAGAACTCCAAAACACCTCTTTTGGGGACATCAAATCATCTCTTTTGGGGACACCAAACCACCTCTTTTGGGGACACCAAAACACTCCTTTGTGGACACCAAATCACCCCTTTGGGGACACTAAAACACCTCTTTTGGGATCATGGAATGACCCCTTTGGGGCTGTTGTTTAATTAATATCTGTTTTCTCCTGTGCAATTTGGGCTCCAGAGGTGGAGCTCGGTAAAATGAGGGTAACACATAAACCATTGTAGGAATGCACAACACGAGAGGTTTCACTGGATCAAATTTGGACAAAGTCTGGGCTAAGAAGATAAAAATCCGAGGAATATCAACCTTGTGATGGAATTGATCCATAAAGATACCAATAATTATGGATTTAGGGCAGTCAGTTCATAACAGGTGCCTTTGCCGCAGATATTGAGCACAAAACTCACTTGGAAAATTCAATTAAAACTTTCTGCAGGATCACAGGGAAAAACGGAAGCACAACCAAAACCTGAGAGCAGCTCAGAGGGATTAAAACTGTTCCCAAAACTGGGCTGAATTCTCCACCTTCTTTCTGGTTTTGAAATAAATTTAAGGGTGGGGATTTGAAAAACAGCACAAAAGTCCATTTCAAGTTGTCATTTCAACCTTTCCCAAATTCCACCTCAAAGCACCGAGTGAAGGAGCAGCTTAATCTGTTGTTGCAGATTAAATGGAATATTTTGGGTCCAGCCCAGGTGATTATTTATTTTTTTAGCTGCATATTGGAGAAGCCTGGGTGGGGTTGAGTTTGACTCAACGCATTTTTGGGTTTTTTTTTCTTCGTTCTAAACACGATGCCCAAATATCCAATATTCACCCAAACTTTAAACCCTAATCCAGGTACTCTCCTGAGGTTTCCCACCCTTCAAAATGCGCCACAACTCTGAATTCCCTGTCCTTGACTTGATCCTGATCGGAGACCAAACCAGAGGAAAGGAATAACTTAAAACCAGACCTAAACACAGAGCACAAAACACCCCGAGCGGATTCAAATATTCTCACTTTGCATAAAACCGAAGCTTTGCATAGAACAAAACCACCCAAAGCAGCTTCCCAAGTTGACATTTTTGGGGTCATTCCCGTATCTCCAGCGTAGGAAAACCGGGAATTTTGTAGGGCCACATCCACAGGGATGTTGTGTCCTCGACATCCACAGGCGACTGCAGCTCTGCCCATCTCAATATTTCTAAAATTTGTGTTTAAATTTTCACACCACCTCTGCCCAAAATCAGATAAAAACTGGAAGCCACAAGGTCAGAACCAGCCCCCAGGTGGAACCTGCTGGCTGAGGTATTTTAAGGTTACCTGAAGGTTGTATCCATTAAATTTTCATAAAGTGATGGAATTAAATATTTTTGATATTATCTAGATTGCAAATATATTTTTAAACTTTGATCCCGCAGCGCTCCTGGATGAATAATCAAAATTATTTTGATTAGCCCATGAAAACAAACAGGATCGTTTTCCAGAACGGCAGAACACGAATCCAAAATCCAGCCCTGAGTTAAACGTAAACATATTTTAAAATGAGACTCTCTTTATTTTATTATTTTAGGAAGAAGTTATATCAGAATTCAACTTACTCAGTTCACCGAGGAGAAGCCAACAGGACCCGCTGGAAGCTCCCTGAGTCAGGAATGGTTTTTATATCCCCGGCTGGACCACCAGGCTGATGCAAGAAAATAACGTCATATTTGGGCATTAGGTCCCATTACTCCCCAAACCAAATTTGAGGGGTAATTACAGTAATTGCTTTGCTTTGCTCACTGTTTGTGTTGATTACCCTTTTCTCACCAGCACGTGACCGCCGTTGTTTGGCCCTGGATTCTTCTCATTTCAGAGTTTTGAGGCTCAGATTCATTCCTGCAGCTCTGCCGGGGTGAAGATCCAGGCTGAGCTCGGCTTTGTGGGAGCTCCTGAGCTTTGCAAGGCTGGTCCTTGCAGCTCCTTGATCCCAGGATTTGTTTTCCTGACCTCCAAGGATGCAGCAGAGCCTAACCCAGCATTAGCCCTGAGTGCTCCTGGCTGCTTCCAGACTTGTCGGGACGTGTTTATGGGAACGGCCAGACTGGAGTGGCCGAGTCGGCTCCCAGAGCCACTCCCAGCCGAGCCCGTGGGGCTCCGGCTCCTCGTTTGGTGTCCGAGCCCAGGACCCGACTCATCCCAAGTTCCAAACCTCCAGGAGTTCCACCTCAGCGTGAGGGAGAACTTCCTTCCATGGAGCTGCTGCCCAGGGAGGGCAGGGTTGGGATTGCCCCTGTCTGGAGTCATCCCAAACCCACGTGGATGCGTCCCTGTGTCACCGGCCCTGGGAGATCTCCAGAGGTCACTTCCAACCCCAACAATCCTGGGATTCTGGGATACAAAACAGCACCGGGAGTTGATGTGGATGGTGGAGACCCGGTTCAGCACGGAACTCCTCCTCTTCCACAAAATTCATGCCCGGAAAAATCGGAAATGGGGGAAAGTCCCTTTGGGGAAAAGTGGGACGGTCAGAGGGATCCTGGTATGGAATAAACCACTCCATCCCCAGTTCCTTTCCGGGTGGTTTTGGTCACCAGAAAATTGTCGGAGTGTGGAGGAGTGTGGGAAACTTGGGGTGCGGGGAGAAGCCACCAAACACAATCGTTCCCTGTTTGACAGGAGGAAAAACAGGGGAAAAACCCAATTGATTTGAGGTTGCTCAGGATCCAGAGGACAAAGGGTTACCCCAGCCCCAGTTTGTGCTGGGGTGAAGCAGAAATTCATGGCATGCTGGAAGCTCAGCCCCCGAGGTGAGAGATCCCATTTAAATCCCAAAATGAGCCCTGATTTGGGAAGGTGGGTGTTGGGCCAAGTGGATTGAAATGGTATCATTAGGATAACAAACACAGGGGCTGGCTTTTAATCCCAAAGAACCAGAGGGATCCGAATTCCCGAGGTGTTTCCGAGTCAGGGAAATCACGTGGGTGGCCCTGACTCATTTCTTTGGAAGGGACGCTATGATTCAATCCTGGTTTAATATCCGCAGCCTGTCATTAACTTCAGAGAGCCACGGCGCTTTGCATGGGTAAAACATGAGTGGGTGTTTGCAAAACCATCCCCAAGCATTTCCTCACAGCATTCCCAACGAGGGCTTTTGCCCATGGGAGCCTCTGGAATCGCTCTGCTTCCAGGGGGGAACGGGGAGTCAGAGGTGGTGGCAAAAAGAAACAACAAAAAAAAAGTTGTGAGCAGAAAGGAGGGAAATGAGGGCAGGAAATGTTGGGGGTGCTCAGAAACACCTGGTTTGGTGTGGCAGATCCTGGAGATTGTGGTGATCCCTGATCTAGGGGTCCTCGGCTGAGTTTGACACAAAATTCCGGAGCCGGGAAAGTGGGATGGGACCCCCAGAGAGGATTTTAAAGGAATCACAGAAATGGGATAGTTTGGGTGGGAAGGGACCTTAAAAACCCCCTCATCCCATCCCCTGCCATGAGCAGGGACACCTCCCACCACCCCATCCAGCCTGGCCTTGGACACTTCCAGGGATGGGGAATGCATGGAATAACCCCTCCCAGGGAATTCCTTCCCAAAATCCCATCTAAACCCCCTCCCCGTCAGTCTGAGCCCATTCCCCGTGCCCTGGCACTCCATCCCTTGGGAATTGTCTCTCCCCGCGTTCCTTGTGGCCCCTTCAGGTCCTGCCAGGCCACCGTGAGGTCACCTCAGAGCTCCCCCTTCTCCAAAAGGAGCAATCCCAATTCTCCCAGCCTTTCCTCCATCCCTCGGATCCTCCTGGAGCCTCCTCTGGGCTCTCTCCAGCAGCTCCAGCTCCTCCCGGGGCCGGGATCCAGGATCAGGATCAGGATCAGGATCAGGATCAACAGGACCTGTCAGGGGCTGCTTTTACCGGAGCAGCCCAACCCAGCAGCATCTGTCAGCTCTGGAAAACTTTGGAGACACTGGAATTCCTCTCCGTCTCCTTTCAGCAGTGCCAGGAGGATTCCTCAGCCTCCTGCAGCTTTTATCCTGCCTTTGTCTCTCTCGGGGGCATTCCCACCTCCAGGTCCTCATTCCTTGCCTCAGGAATTCCCCACAAAGCCCCTTGGCACCGGGGAGAGCCGCTCTGCCGTTCCTGGCAGGAATTCCCTTCCCCAGAGCGGCTCCAGAGGGAGCTTTTGGACCAGCCCGGCTTTCACACGCCTCAGCGAATTTCTCCTCCTGCAGGTTTTTTATTTATTTAGGCGGATATAATCGCGGATGAGGAAGTGGAACAATCCCAGCTGGAAAAGGGTTTCAGGCTTCAAAGCGGCGAAGCAACGAAAGGTGCTGTGAGCAGGAAACAGAAATAAATATGAATTATCCCAGAAGATTGGGATGGGGAAGGGTCTGGAGAGGTCCGGAGGGAGATGGGAGGCTCAACAAGGAGAAAAGGGGGATCCAGGGGGAATTTCAGGCTCTTCCAAGTGGGATTTGGAATCTGATCCCAGGACAAGAGGGCGTGGCCTCAAGCTGTGCCAGGGGAGGCTCAGGGTGGATATTTTTTCCTGATTCCATAGGGAAATTTTGAAGGATGTCTCCCCCTCAAACCCAGCCCTGAGCATGATGAGGGGGCCTGGCTCTTATCCAGGAGCTTCCAATCCTCCCAAATTCCCAGAGCCTCCAATCCTCCCAAATTCCCAGGAGCCTCCAATCCTCCCAAATTCCCAGAGCCTCCAATCCTCCCAAATTCCCAGAGCCTCCAATCCTCCCAGATTCCCGGATTAGGCAAAAGGATGACATGGAAAAAGAAGTTACAAGGGGAAAAAGAAAACCGAAACGATGGGAATTTGAATGCAAAAGGACTTTAATGTCAGGGAAGTGCTGGGGGCCGAGTCACACGGAGGGAGCACAAAGGACGATTCCCAGGGCTTTGGGAAGCCATGCAGATCCACAAAGGCCGGGGAAGGCGATTCCTTGGATGTCCCTGGCTTGCAGCTTCCCCAGGAGCTGAGGCCAGCCCGGGGCTGCTGGCGGGAGAGCCGCGGCTGCCTCAGAAATAAAAGGAGCCACAGTTTCCTCCTCCAAACCTCCTGGAGCTGGAGCTGCCCCCTCCAAAGGAACCCCCTCCATAGGAACCCCCTCCGCAGGAGCCGCCCCCAAAGGAGCCGCCCCCAAAGGAGCCGCCCCCACCGCAGGAGCCCCCCAAGTGCCCCACGGAGGAGCCAAAGGTTCTTCTGCTCCCAAAGGATCTGCCCCCTCCAAAGGAGCCCCCGGAGCCAAAGGATCCACCCGTGGAGCCGCCTCCATAGGATCCACCAGAGGAACCGCCTCCGTAGGATCCCCCCGTGGAGCCGCCTCCGTAGGAACCCCCAATCCCACCCGTGGAGCCGCTGCCCCCTCCGTAGGATCCCCCAATGGCGCCCCCGGATCCAGAGGATCCCATGGCCCCCGACGGGAAGGAGGTGCCCACGATGCTCTCCTGCGGGCAGGAGCTGAGGATGGGCCCCGGGAAGGTGATGACCACGGGCGGAGGGTAGACCACGGCCCGCGAGTCCCCGCAGGAGGTGACGCAGGGCTGGCTCCAGGCGTCCGCGTAGGGCTGGGGACAGGACACCTCGCACGGCGACGAGCAGCCGCTGCTCATCATCGCTCCTGAAGACATTTCTGGGATGGACGGCAACCTGCAGCGGCACAGAAATCACAACTACCCATCCCAAAATTCCAGAGGGAAACAAATCCTGCACCAGTGCCTTCCGTCAGCGGGAAAAAAGACGGGAAGGAGAGCTTGGAAAGATTCCTGAAAACATCTTTTTTTGATAGGAGGAGAACTGCAGCACTGCAAAGGTGGAAAATTAAGATATTCAGGGAGCTCTGGGCCTTTACACAATCACCAGGACAATTAAATCTGTGATTTCCTGATTGAAGAAATTATTGCCCTATAAATATGAGATCTCCTCTCGTTTCCCTCCACCCTGAGTAAAAGCCAAGCTCGGAGTAGTTAAGTTGTAGCCTCCCCATCAAATAATCAGGGTTTAATTGACGCTTTCCCCGTGTGGTTTGAAACAGCACAATCTCATTGAGATCTGCGTCTCCCAAGCCACAAAAAGCTTCCCTGCCCAAGAGACGGAACGGATAAAATGGAATAATTCGGCTCGGAAAAGAGCCCCGAGTCCATATTCCTGATCATTTCAGAGCTCTGACATGGAATTATTTCAAATGAATTATTTCAAATGAATTATTTCAAATGATTTATTTCAGAGGAATTATTTCAATCCAGCGCCCACAGCCGCATCCCAGCTAACAAAAATGAAATTAGAGGCAGAGAACTCACCGGGCTCGCAGGGAAAACCGGACTGAGAAGAAGGTGCTGGAGAAGCTGGAGGAAAATCCCGGTTTTTATACCCTCCCCGACGACTCCCAGCACATGCAACACAACTTTGGGACATCACCAGCCACGCTTTTTGCTGTATAAGCGCCTTCTAATTGTAATAATTGCTTTGATAAGTGTTAATGATTCGTAAATCAACTCCTCATCAGCCGATACAAGCACACACCCTTTGTTTTCCTTTAATCCTTAAATAATTTTTAGATGATTTTTTTACTGCTGCCATTTCCTGACCTGGTTTGACTTGGGGATTGGCTTGGAAGGGTGAAGGATCAGGAATTCACTCAGAAAGGGAAAAAATCGGTTTGGTTTCGTCAGGGGGAATATTTTCTGTTCTGCAGAAAATTCCCTGGAAATCCAGAATTGGGGAAAAACCACAACTTTTGTCTTTATAAATCCTTGGATGGGAAGGGTCATTTTTTATACCTGTTTAACCCAAGGAACTGGTTGAAAAGGACTTAAATTAATTCCTTGGACGCTCATTATCATCTGAGAAAGCCTTGTGCGAGAGCATTTAATTATCGTAATTCTCCTTTTGTCACCCTGATTTTCATAATTCTCCTTTTGTCATCTTAATTATCCTAATTCACCTTTTATCACCTTTTGGGTCAGCCGCAATATTCCAGGCAGACACGTGGAGGAGTCATCACTGGAGGAAAAAACCTGAATATTTTTGAGCGCACGAAGCTGATTCCATCAAAAACACAATAAAAGCATCTCAAGACTGGCCAGGGTTATTTTTTTAGGGAAGGCACAGCAGAATTCCTGGGTTTAAACCTCGCCTGGTGAAGGGGAGAAATGCATAAATTGGTGGAGAGATCTCCAAGCAAAATTTCCTTTATGAATCAGCAAGAACATCAGGAGAGTTGTAGATGTGATGGACATTTTGGGGTGGCTGTCACAGACAAACATCTCACACAAACACTGGTGTCATCAAACCCCAAACGGGGAAGGTTTTGGTCCTAAATCAAAGTCAGCTGAAGAGATTTGGGATTTAAAAATAAATATTTGAGATTCGAGAGCTGCGATTCGAGGTTTGAGGTTCGAGATTCGAGATTTTAGATTTGAAATTTGAGATTTGAGATTCGAGAGTTGAGATTCGAGATTTGAAATTTGAGATTCGAGATTCGAGGTTCCAGATTCCAGATTTTAGATTTGAAACTTGAGATTTGAAATTAAAGATCTGAGATTCGATTCTCAGCCGGCGCTGTGGGAGGGAAGCGGCTCCAGTTTGGAGCTGGAATTTCTTCCTGTTTTTCCTGGAAAGGGCGGTCAGGCCTTGGGAAGGGCTCCCTGGAGGGGTCCAAGGAACACCTGGACATTGGTCTGGGTGACCAGGTGGGGATCGGTCCCAGGTCAGACTCCACGACCTTGGAGCTCTTTTCCAGCCTCAGCAACCCTGAAATTCCGTGATCGTCCCGTACTTCCCGTTTCTATGGCGATAAAGTTTATTCTCGGTGTTTCTACAACTCCCATCCCCACATTTCTGGTGCTTCCAGACCCAATTGGAAAACAGGACATGAGTATCGGGGTTAAGATCTTGCGACAGAACCCGGACAAGCCCTGTCAGGCCCCGGTGACATCCCTGGGTTTGACAGCTCTGCCAGTCAGCAATTCCTCCTTGACTCCTCAATTAACGTGAAACTTTCTGGGTTCCTCCAGTTGGGTGGGGAAATATCGATTTACATGGAAAATCCCGGGTTCTGCTGCTGGTTCTCCCACTCCAGTGGCTCTGGGAAGCGGCAGCACTTCCAATCAGCTCCCCAAAATCCACATTTCGGGGCGGGAAGTGGAATATTGGGCACGAAACCTATTAATTAATCAATAAATCCCTCAAATGGATTTAAACTCATTTCAGCTTCAGTTCCAGCGAGGCCCAGGGACGGCACCAGCTCCGAGGGGGATTCCTGGGGGGTCGCAATGTGGAGCAAATGGAATCCAACCCAAGGGGTGCAGTGCTTGGAATGTGACTTGGGATTAATAACGAATTTATCACGTCACTTAGGAGAACAATTAGGACAATTAATGAAATAATCCAGCCAGCAAAACACGGTTTGGTAACGCGTGGGAAGCTCTTGCACAAAGAGCGGCTCCCATCCCACTGGGGGTCGGGAAAAGTATAAAAGAGCTCTTGGAATTCTGCAGTGCCATCCACAGCTGCTCCTCTTCTCCACTTCTCCAGACCCGGTGAGTTGGATCCCCTTTGTCCTCTGCTTGAATACAGGGAAATATTTTCTGTCTTTACTCTCCTTCCCAAAATGTTTTCAGGAATCTTTCTAAGCTCTTCTGTCCTCTCTTTTTCCCTGCTCAGGAAAGGCACCAGAGCAGGATTTTTTTCCCCTCTGGAATTTTGGGCATTGTAGTTAGGATTTATCCCCTGTTCCGGGTTCCTCCCCATCCCAAAAGGTGTCTCCAGGACAGTTTTTCACCGAGGGCTTGCTCTCCTGCAGAACCTGGGGTGCCCAGCAATTCCACTTGCCTTTTCCAGGCTTTAAAATCCAAAATCCCATCCACACCTGCATTTGTGGGCATGGGATCGATGTCAGGACTGGAATTTCCCAGGCTCTGGGATGGATTCAAGGCTCTTGGTGACCACCACAACTTTATCTTCTGCTCCAAGAAACTCCTAGGGATGAGCTGCTTCCAAAGGCTCCTGGAGTCTGGCTTTGCTCTCCAGGATTCCCAGCACAGCCAGGGAAGCAGGAAAGCCTTTGGGAAGCAGCAGAGCTGAGTGCAGAAAAATGCAGGAAAGGGAAAAACCTGGCTCTTCCCAAGCTCTCCTTCCCATCTTTTTTCCCGCTGACGGAAGGCACCGGTGCAGGATTTGTTTCCCTCTGGAATTTTGGGATGGGTAGTTGTGATTTCTGTGCCGCTGCAGGTTGCCGTCCATCCCAGAAATGTCTTCAGGAGCGATGATGAGCAGCGGCTGCTCGTCGCCGTGCGAGGTGTCCTGTCCCCAGCCCTACGCGGACGCCTGGAGCCAGCCCTGCGTCACCTCCTGCGGGGACTCGCGGGCCGTGGTCTACCCTCCGCCCGTGGTCATCACCTTCCCGGGGCCCATCCTCAGCTCCTGCCCGCAGGAGAGCATCGTGGGCACCTCCTTCCCGTCGGGGGCCATGGGATCCTCTGGATCCGGGGGCGCCATTGGGGGATCCTACGGAGGGGGCAGCGGCTCCACGGGTGGGATTGGGGGTTCCTACGGAGGCGGCTCCACGGGGGGATCCTACGGAGGCGGTTCCTCTGGTGGATCCTATGGAGGCGGCTCCACGGGTGGATCCTTTGGCTCCGGGGGCTCCTTTGGAGGGGGCAGATCCTTTGGGAGCAGAAGAACCTTTGGCTCCTCCGTGGGGCACTTGGGGGGCTCCTGCGGTGGGGGCGGCTCCTTTGGGGGCGGCTCCTTTGGGGGCGGCTCCTGCGGAGGGGGTTCCTATGGAGGGGGTTCCTTTGGAGGGGGCAGCTCCAGCTCCAGGAGGTTTGGAGGAGGAAACTGTGGCTCCTTTTATTTCTGAGGCAGCCGCGGCTCTCCCGCCAGCAGCCCCGGGCTGGCCTCAGCTCCTGGGGAAGCTGCAAGCCAGGGACATCCAAGGAATCGCCTTCCCCGGCCTTTGTGGATCTGCATGGCTTCCCAAAGCCCTGGGAATCGTCCTTTGTGCTCCCTCCGTGTGACTCGGCCCCCAGCACTTCCCTGACATTAAAGTCCTTTTGCATTCAAATTCCCATCGTTTCGGTTTTCTTTTTCCCCTTGTAACTTCTTTTTCCATGTCATCCTTTTGCCTAATCCGGGAATCTGGGAGGATTGGAGGCTCTGGGAATTTGGGAGGATTGGAGGCTCCTGAATGAGAGCCAGGTCCCTTTATCGCACTCAGGGCTGCGTTTGAGGGGTGGATAACAAATTTTCCACCTTCAGCATTTCCCACTGAAACTCTTTTATATCCCTATTTTTTCCCCTCACATTTTCTTTCCCACCTTTTCACCTACAAATCCTTCGGCTGGAAACCACTTTGCCTTGAGCCAGCAGAAATCCTCCTGCCTTTAATCCTGGTGTGACTTTTGGGCCACTTTAACAGGAATTTGGAGCTCTGGTTTCACCCTGTGACACACTCCAGGATTTGCTGAACTGGAATTCTGCGGGATTTCGTCTCCTCTCCCTAGAGCTTCACCACGATTGCAAACAAATTATCCAATTATTTTCCAATTGAGCCTGTTCCTTCAGCCCCATTAAGGTTTTGCTCTCAGCTGATTAATTTATTGCGTGCCATCATTAAATTAATCTCAGATTAAAATTCCTAAACCTCTTTAGGCACACGGGGTATTTAAGCAACTTTAGTAGCGTGTCATCCAATTTTCTATTTATGTCCTGGGCTGTCAATTATAATATTTTAAATCCATTTGGAGCTTAAACAGAGAGCAAAAAATTCAATTTTCCAAGCAGGATTCTCTCATGGGGAGATAATCCTCTTTTTCCTGATATTTCCCATATTTCAGTTCATCCTTCTTGACTTAACAAACATTAAGGATTCTACAGTTCAATATAAAGTATTAAAAACGTTTTTTCAGCTTTTTTTTGGGCGGTTCCCGATCTCCCTCCTGTGTTTTCCAAGGGAGTAAAGCCGGGTTTAAGTCACCCCTCGCAGATCTTTAGACCCGGGGCTCACCCACGGCTGTTTCTGTGTTCCCATCCTGGAAACCAGGATGTCAGGCGGGGTTTGTGCTCTTGTGCCACTCCTCCCTTGGGAAATTCTCTCTTGCACAGCCCGGTGACATTCTGCTGTCAAATAAAAGCAGCCCTGTGATGATGCCACAGCCGGGAGAGATTTCCCCACATCCTGAAGCGTTGGGCACTGACGGCTCAGAAATCAAGGAGAGCTTCTTTGGTGGATTTCCTGTGGTTCCCACCCCCAGTCCTCAGATTTTCACCTTGGTTTGCATCCTCTAGTACCCAAAAAAAATGCGTTCAGCTTCCCTAAAGCTCAGAATTCTGCAGGGAATCACGGTAATTCCTAAAAACTGGTTCTAAGTATAGCAACAGAATGGATGGGGCCGGGTTCTGCTCCCAGGGGACAGGGACAGGAGGAGAGGGAATGGTCTCGAGCTACCAGGGTGGATATTTGGGAAAATTCCACCTGGAAAGGGCGGCCAGACCTTGGAAGGGGCTCAGGGAGGTTTGGAGTGGCCGTCCCTGGAGGTGTCCGAGGAAGGACTGGACATTGCACTGGTCTGGTGGGAAATGGACCAAAGGTTGGGCTCCATGACCTCAGAGATCTTTTGCAGCCCCAAGGATTGGAATTTATGATTCCAGGAATGAACAGAATCCTTCAGGAGAGAGGAGCTGAGCTAAACCCGGGTGTAAAACCAAAACCCTCGTGGCTTTCCAGACCACATCCCAGCCCTTGATTGTTCGTCCTGCAGCTCAAAGTTGTCACCTCCAGAGAGCTCCGTGCCCCCCGGAGAGCAACCAAACTCCTCCATGCTTAAATTTTGGGTGCTTCATCCAACCCTCGGTTTCACAACCCCCAATTACTTAAATAATTACTGCCCAATTACCATAAAACCCCGTAATTGCTGCTCACGGAACCAGCTGAGGGAAGCCTAAGGAAGTAGGGGAAAGGACGGGAGCGAAACGGTCCCGCAGAGAAAGGAAATCCCAACAAAACGTGCTGATGCAGGAGGATTTTAATGGGATACACAAGGGGATGACACCAAACAGACGCTCCTTCCTTCAGCTTCACTGTCCGAGAAGAATCCACCTTCCACCCATTGTTCTTCTCCTGTCAGGGCTGCATTGACAAGCTCCCTGCCAGGCCTTTCAAGCTGTTCTTTTTTCTTCTCTTGGCACAATGGGAAGAAGGAGCTGGCACTGAAGGGTGATTTAACAGAGGCTGCTAATTAAAACAAAAGGGGAATGTGGGGAAGAGGTGTGGGCCCCGTTCCCAGAGGTCCTGAGCGAGGGTGGCTCCCGTTGATGCTTTTGCCGTCTCCAAAAGCCGGTCCCAGCTGCGGATCTGGATTCTGGGGTTTTATCTCCCGGGCCCAGGGATCTTCAGCTGCCTCAGTTTCCCAGGCGGGATCCACGGCTGCTGCTGGTGTAGAACTTCCTGAGGAAGCAGCCCCCCGAGGAGGAAGCCCCACATCCAGAGGAACCCCCCCTTCCTGAGACACCCATGGAAGAACTCCCACATCCATAGGAACCCCCAGAACCATAGGAGCCCCCAGATCCATAGGAGCCCCCAATTCTTGACAGGCCACCAGAGGAGCCTCCCATCCCTGAGCCGTATGAGGAGCCACCGGAGGGCTGGGGCAGGGATGAGGCCACGATGCTTTCCTGGGGGCAGGAGCTCAGGATGGGGCCGGGAAAGGTGATCCACACGGGCGGGGCGTAGACCAGGGCCGTGGAGTCCCCACAGGAGGCCACGCAGGGCCCAAGGCCTCTGCTGTAGGCACAGGGCTCGGGACAGGCCACCTCGCAGCCGGGCAGGCACCGGGAGCTGATGCAGTTCATGGTTCTCAGAGCTGGAGGAGGAGCTGGGAGAGAAAAGATGGAGTCAGGGAATGTCACAGCCCCTCCACACACACACACACTTGTCCTTGTCCTTTTCCTCCCTGCTCGTGGAATTCCAGGATGCCTGCGGCTGGGAAAGAGCTCCAAGAGCATCGAGTCCAAGCTGTGCCTGATCCCCACCTGGATGCCACCTGGAGCTGTGTCCAGGGATTCCTCGGACACCTCCAGGGGCAGCCACTCCAACCTCCCCAAGGCTCTTCCAAGGCTTGGTTGACCTTTCCAGGAGGGATTTTCCCAAATATCCACCCTGAGCTTCCCCTGGCACAGCTCGAGGACCTTCCCTATTGTCCTGTCCCTGTTCCCTGGGATCAGAACCCAAATCCTACCTGGAGGAACCCGAAATTCTCCCTGGCAGATCTTTTTTTCCAGGCTGAGCCTCTCCCAGCTCCCCCAGGAGTTCTCCAGACCCTTCTCCAGCTACTCCAGCCCCTCAATGACTGTCCTGAACTGGGGGACCCAGAACTGGACACAGGATGGAGGTGTGGCTTCCCCTCCTCCCTCAAACCCTCCTGACCTGGGACTCCATTTCTCCCTCTGCTCCAGAAGACACCTAGGACTTGGTTTCTCAGTAAATTCAAGTTTTAAATTCGCACCTCAAGCTTTGAAAGCCACAAGAAAAAAATCCACATAACCTCTAAAATTCTGTCTTTAAGTATCAAATTGATTTTTCCGACTGCAGTGAGACTCCAACGAAAAGCAGGATTTCACTGCCGCGTCTCCCGGCTAAAATCCCCCAAAAACCAAGGAACAAGTCCTGGTTTAAAACTGTCACTACAGAGAATGAGAGAGAGCAAAGATCAGCTTAAATCCAACTCACCTGGAGTAGCAGGAGAAGTCAGGAGAAGGTTTGAGGAGACTCCTGAGATGTTCCTCCTTTTATACCTCTTCGGAGGCAGCTCCTGGGGTATGAAACATCCCATAAAATCTCTCACCCTTACCAAATTCTGGATTTTTTCCCTCTGTGTGACTCCTCTAACGCCTGTAATTATTTTCATAGTTTCCAATTAGCAAATCAACCCTCGACATATACAATCTGACTCTCATATCATAAATTTGGCTTTTTCATTGTGTGGGAATTTTACAGCCCAGGCTCCTGTGCAATATTCCAGGGATGACTGGATTTACAATGGAACCTGACCCCTGCCTGTTATTTCTCATTCATGATTTAAGTGAGGCCTGCACAGATCAAGCCTGCAAGTCTGAACTAAGGAACGGCTTGGGTTGATGGCGAGATAACTTTGAAGGTCAAACCCATTTGGGAAGAGTTTCAGGAGGAATTTCCTCATGGGAAGGCTTTGGAAGGGGCTGACCAGAGGGGGTTTGGAGTCCCCATCCTTGGAGGTGTCCAAGGAACGACTGGACATCGGTCTGGGTGACCAGGTGGTGATGGGTCAAATGCTGGACGTGATCACCTGGGAGGGCTTTTCCGAGCGAGATGATTCCAAGGTTCCAAGTTTGGGATCCACCTTGGGACACAAAGGCCTGGTGACCTTGGGCTGTGCCCTCGCAGCGGCACCGGTGATGTGGTGGCGACATCGCTGAGCTCAGCATCCCCAAAATGAGTTTTGATTAAAATTACTCAGAGGTTTCAGGGCTCAGAGGACCTCACCTGTCGCTTCAATCCCTTTGAAATGTGTTTTGCTGTCTCATCCCCTCAATCCGTGCACGCAGGGAGGATTGCAAAGATCCCTGACCCCCATCCGAGGTCGGATGATTCCGTTTGGGAGGGATTGGACCCAAATCTGAGGCTTACACCCCAATTGTGTGAGTGACACGTGGGGAGCCGCCTTCCTGCAAGTCACGGAAGGAAAACAAACACAGAGATCAACTCCTGTTTCCTTTGGAACCGGAGTGATGCCGAAAGGATTTTTCCCCGTGAAGTTTGAGACAAAAGGAGACTTTTGGGTGTTGGGTTTGTGTCACTCAAAGCAGGGCTGGAAACGATCAGTAATTATGAGCTGAAATGAAAACAACGGAGAGGCTTAAGAGGATCTTTTTCTTTGTAAGTGATAAGGATTTAGTAACTAAAATGGGTGACATCACATCCTCCTTATTGTCTAAAAACGGGATAAAAGGGGAGAGAGCTGAGAAATCCTCCATTCCTGCAGATCCACTGATTTATTCCCTCCAAGACAACGGGGTAAGTCTGACTTCGTTGTACTCCTCGGTACTTTAAAATTTCTGCTTTTTTATCTTGCAAAATTCCAACGGCTCTGGAAAAGCTGAGGGAGATGAGTGGATTTGGAAAAGTTGGGGGAAAGGGAGGAACAGAGCAGGGGCTTTCCTTGGGGACTTTCTGAAGGCAAATCTTCCTGTAGATCTACTTGAAAAGGGAATTAATGGGACTTTCCTGGGCAAGGAATTGCCCCGGAGAAAAGGGGAAGATTTTGTTTTGAGAGATTCAGAAGAAAAAGAGACGTGGTGGTAGGAAAGGAAGAACAGAGAAGCCTCAAACAGGTCAGGAAGGAAGGAAACAGCAGGAAAAATGGGAATCCATGAGGGAGGGTTGAACTGGGAGCAGCTGGAGAAGGACGAAGCACAACTGGTTCATACTGGGAACCCGTGGCCTGGCTACGCTGCCTCCTTGACCGCACACTTCCTTTCCCAGCTTGATCCCAAATCCTAAGGAATGATGTCGAACGCTGGCTCCGAGTGCCTGCAGAGCTGCGAGGTGGCCTGTTCCCAGCCCTGTGCCTACAGCAGGAGCCTGGAGCCCTGCGTTGCCTCCTGTGGCGATTCCAGAGCCGTGGTGTTCCCTCCTCCCGTCGTCATCACCTTCCCGGGCCCCACTCTCAGCACCTGCTCCCAGGAGAGCATTGTGGGAGCTTCCCATCCCATGGTTCTTGGTGATCCGGTCCCATACATCTCTGATGAATCCTATGGAGCGGGGGGCTCCTTTGGGCCTGGGGGCATGGCAGGGGCTGGAGGCTCCTTCGGATCCAGGAGCTCCTTTAGCTACGGAGGCTCCTCGGGGATCGGGGGTGCCTTTGGGCGTGGGGGTTCCTTTGGCTCTGGAATGCAGAATTCCTGGGGGTCCTGTGGGTACGGGGACGTGCTGGGGGCGAACGGTTCCTTCGGATCTGGGGGTGCCTTTGTCTCCAGAGCCTCCCCGGCAAAGGTGGGCTCCTGTTATGGCCTGAGGTCCCGCAGGAGCCGCCTGGGGAACTGGGGCTCATGCTAAGGCCAAGCAACCCAGAAGATGAAAACCCAGGATCCAGATCCAGACCCGGAATTCCGAGGCTGCTCCCTGAAAACCAGGCCCGCGTCTCCTCCTGTTGTGCCTCATCTTCGATCAAACGCCGTTCCGTGGGATGGAGTCTCTCCTGGAACTCTTTAATTCATCTTGTCCCCTGTCCTTTCTGGTGGGGTGGGAATGCTTCAGAATTCCAGGTGGGGCTTTCTGTAAAGGCTCCAGCTGCACCCTGTGAAGTGGCTTTTGTCACCCACGGGGGTGGCCTGGCTGCCCTCGGACCACCAACGAATTGTTCTCTTTTATTCTATTTTGTTTATTTCAAGCCCTAATAAAAATCTTTCTGAATCGCATTGGCAGCTTCCTGGTTTTCCTTTCCACGGAATCCCAGGATCATTTAGGCTGGAAAAGACCTCCAAGGTCATCAAGTCCAGCTTTTGATCCCCACAAAAGCACCCCTAAGTATACCAATCCCCCATTACCCTGGCTCCAAGGGTAAACTGGTTTTAACTGGGTGCTGCACCATTCCATCCCTGGAGGTTCTTCCAGCCTACTGGAAATCATTCTGTGTTGTTTATTGGATAATGTGGAATAGATCAGAAAGGGAAAATAGCTTATTGAGGAATTTCAGACTAATTATATTTGCATTACAGTGGGATTAATTCCCATCTCATGAGAATTAATTACTGCACAAGGATTCCTTTCTTCAGACCGGTTTGTAACTGAAACTGTGGTGAAATAAAAGCCAGAACCCGGGCTTGTGATGCAACAGGGCTTTAATACAAACAAAAGGTGGGATGAGGCACTACAGAGACAAAGAAGAGAATCTCCATGTCAGAATTCCCATTTCAGCATTCCCATTTCAGCCTGGACTCCAGTCCAGCAGTCATTCTGAGACATTCCTTCTCCACTTCTGGACACTTTCACAGCCAAGTCCCATGACTGGTTTGACTCTTCAGGTTCAGGGAGTACAAAACACAACAGGAGCGAGGGACAAAGGGAGGGAACATCGGGACCCTAAGCCTTGGATAAAGCACAACAAGATCCAAACAACCCCGGCTCCGACCGGATCAGCTGGAGCAGAGACTGCTTGGAATTCCGAGCCATCAACTACTACTTTGCATCCTATTTTTCCTGTGGACATTCCTCAGCTTTAAAGGGTTAAAAAGGCCCGTAGTTCCCGTAGCGATACCTGTAGTACCCTCGGGAAAAATAGGGATAATAATTCCTGCCGTAGCCTGAGAAATAGGAGCCGCGGTAGAGGCTCTCCAGCCGTGACATCCCACCCCCGCACGAGCCGCCCGAGCTGTGGGAGCCCATCCCGTAGGAGCCCCCGCAGGAAGAGCCCATTCCTCCCCCTCCAGAGCCCATCCCACCGCATCCCGATCCCATTCCTCCTCCAGATCCCATCCCGCCACCTCCAGACCCCATCCCGCCACCTCCAGATCCCATCCCGCCACCGGATCTGATCCCAGGGAACAGGGACGACACCACAAAGCCTCCAGACCCCATCCCGCCACCTCCAGACCCCATCCCGCCACCTCCAGATCCCATCCCGCCACCTCCAGAGCCCATCCCACCCCCTCCAGAGCCCATTCCCCCGCCGATTTCGGGGATGGACGACCCAACGATGCTCTCCGTGGGGCAGGAGCTGATGATGGGCCCCGGGAATGTCACGACCACGGGCGGGGCATAGACAATGGCTCGGGATTCTCCGCAGGAGGTGACGCAGGGCTCGCTGCAGGCGTCGACGTAGGGTTGGCTACACATCACCTCGCAGGGCGAAGCGCAGCGGGCGCTGAGCAGTTGGCCATAGGAGGACATTGTTCCCGATCCAACCTGGAAGGAAGAGAAGGTCCCAGCCCGGTTTGGAAGATCCCAGAGGATTGGAAAGATGGGGAAGAATTCCTCAGTTCTGGAGTTGTTTGTGTGTTTTATTCTTTAGTCGCCGCCTTTTAAAGGGTAAAAAATGTCCCCAGGCTCCTCCGTTTTGGGTGGTGAAAATGTGTTTTGTCCCTAAATTCTTAGGGATGAGACTGAGATAACTGGTAGGAAATGGGAGGTGTATGGGGGATTATTCCCTTTGGAGTTTGCTGGAAAGGGAGCTGGGTTATGGGAATGGGGTTTTGCCAGGTGGTGTTTGGATGGAGAGGTGCAGGTGTGTGGGATTAAATAATCTGAATAAATGAGTTTGGGGTTAAAAGAATTAAAATAATAACTTTAAAAAATCATCATTTCTAGGGCACAATCCGCTTTTCCATAAACTGCGCCAATCAAGGGAGATGAATTGTGGGGAAATGCTTCTAATTCTGTTCCCATTCCTCTCTAGTGCTCCATGGAATCACGGAATGGACCCTAAAGATCCAGTTCCGACCCCTGACATGGGCAGGAACACTTTCCATAGACCCCAAAATCCACACAACCTGGCCTTGGACAGTTCCAGAGATGGAACAGCCTCAGCTTCTCTGGGAATTCCATTCCAAGGCCTCCCCATGCTCACAGGGAAGGATTTATCCCTAAAATCCCGTCTAAACCTCATGTCCATCATTGTGAACCCATTCCCCCTTTTCCCAGCACTTCATCCCTTGGAAATTGTCTCTCCCCACGTTCTTTTTGGCTCCTTCAGGTCCTGGAATGTCACAACTGGGTCACCCCAAAGCTCCTCTGTATTTTTGTCCCGTCTCTATTGCCAGAATGAATTCTGGGAACAACCTCCCTGTCCTCCTCCCACATTATTCCCTTCCCTGTTCCTTTTGGGAATCAATCCCACCCTGATCATGAGTTTGGAGTGACCCTTCTCCACAGATAAATGCCCAATTCCTAAAAATTCCTCCCATCAGCATTTTTATAACTCCCATTCCTTTCCCTCCTTTTATCCACCTCAAGCCCCACTTCCCACACAAAACGGGTTTGGAGAATAAACTCTACCCTGATTTAGGATAGGATATAAAACCTCAGATCAAAGCTCCCCATAAACCAAATTACCTCTAATTAGGAGCTGATTCAGTTAAATCTGACTTACCCAGTCAGCGAGGAGAACGAGTCAGCGGAGGCAGCTCCAGGGCCGCCAGTCAGGAGCACTTTTATATCCTGTCATGGAGAAAGGAAATTGGGAGCCACCTTGACGCAACCCCCTTGTGAAATGGAATGTTTTCCCTGCTCCTGCCTCCCCTTGTCGCAACTGTTTTGATAACGCCTTAGGATTAGGAGATAATTCCCAGTCCCACACAAGGCGCCGCAGGTGCTTCACCCTTCCTGGGCCTTTGCTGGAAGTCTCTCCATCCATGAGGGGGATTTTCCCTAAAATATTCATTCTGAATCTTCTGGATCTGTGTCTGTGGTCACTTTGTGTTCATCCCATGGGTTTTTTATGGAATTTCCTTCCTGGGAAAACTCCTAGGCCCACAGAGGGGTGTGGGATAATCCCAGGCCTGCTCAGGGTGCTTCACCCTTTCTGGGCCTCTGCTGGAAATCTCTCTATTCATGAGGGGGATTTTCCCTAAAATATTCATTCTGAATCTTCTGGATCTGTGTTTGTGGTCACTTTGTGTTCACTCCATGAGTTTTTATGGAATTTCCTTCCTGGGAAAACTCCTAGGCCCACAGAGGGGTGTGGGATAATCCCAGGCCTGCTCAGGGTGCTTCACCCTTTCTGGGCCTTTGCTGGAAATTTCTCCATCCCTGAGGGGGATTTTCCCTAGAACAGGGGGATTTTCCCTAAAAAATATTTGCTTTGTGTGTACATGGTCACTCTGTGTTTGCTCCATGAGTTTTTGTGGAATTTCTGTTCTTTGAACAGATAATTTCTTTTTCACATTCCAAGTAGGATGTTTGAGGTACCAAAGCCGTTCTTGGACAAGAATTCCGTCAGAAATTCAGCTAAAAAAAGGGCACCTGCCCAGGATTTTATATTTTACCATCAACTCCTCCTCTCAAAGGTCATCCTTGTAGAATAAACACCTAAAAAATACTAAACACTGGGAATAAATTGAATTTTCCTTTGAGGATGTGTTTTTTTAGAAGCCAAGATGAAGAGAGGAATTTAGTTTAGGATCAGACGACTCAGAGGAAACATTACCTGAGATCCAGGCCCACAAATTCAGCTCAAATAAATCCCCAAGGCCTGGAAAATGCTCCTAATGTGATTTTCACACTCACATTTACATTAAAAAATCCCTCTTCCTTCTCAGTTGCAGTGAATTATTAAAAGAAAAGGAAAACACAAAAACAAAGCCCCAAATAAATGATTTTATTTACATTTCATGGCTCTGAAATCAATCTAATGAGTAGAGGATACATATGAGCAGCAGAGATCAGTCTGACTCACTTAATTTATGGCAATTAAAAGCACCCATTAATTACAGCGATTGACAGCTGAGGCAATTCCAGGAGTTACCAAACCCAATATTTGAGAAAAGTCCATAAGAACCTCGTCCCATTGTCCTGGAGGTTTTTCCAATGGAGAGAAAACTGGTTTAAAACACAAAACTGCCAAAAATCCCGGGTTTTGTTTCTGGAATCGGGGTTTTTCCTTGGAAGATTTAATGGGATCCTTTCCTTTGTGGGATTTCACAGCCCTGATATTCCATGGAAATCCTTCCCAAAAAAATCAGCTCCCAAAGGCAAAGCCCTGGCACAGGCCCGAAACTCCTTTCACAACCCCTGAACCTGCCTCAGATCAAAGAGTTCCTTAAGAGATAAGAAAAAAAGATAAACTCCCTTCCCAGCTGGAAGAGAAATCCTTCTGGAAACAGAAATTAAAGCTAAATAGAAGGAATAAAAATAAAAGAAATAAAAATAAAGGAAATAAAAATAAAGGAAATAAAAATAAAATAAATAAAAATAAAGGAAATAAAAATAAAGGAAATAAAAAGAAAATAAATAAAAATAAAATAAATAAAAATAAAGGAAATAAAAATAAAGGAAATAAAAAGAAAATAAATAAAAATAAAATAAATAAAAATAAAATATGAATTAAACTAAAACAAATACAAATTAAAACAAACAAAAAAAATCAGGAATTTTGGATTTTTTCCAGACTCACCTCAAACAAACCAATCCCAGAGATTTATCTGGGAGATTCCTCATCCTGTTTTCACCCTGGCATGCTGATGTTGTTGTTGTTGTTGATGTTGTTGTTGTTGTTGATGTCGCTGGTAAATAGATTTTCTGGCTTTAGGAATTCCAGGGCTCTGCTCTGATCCTTCCCGGCTGCTTTGCATACGGAGATGAAATCAGAGGAAGCTGCTGCAGCTGCTTTGCTCTTCCCTATAATTTTCCAAATTGGGCTCCGAGGCCGCTTGGCAGAGAGGAAATCATCGGTGTCATTATCCCAGATCGGAGCAGAACACCATCCTTAACCCTCATTTTCCCCCAGATTTTATCGAGGACAATTCCAGGCTCGGAAAGGAACAACCAGCAGCACCCGGGCAGGAAAATAAAGGGGATAAAATTTGGGAATTGCTGCGTGAAGTTAATGCTGGCTTGGATCCTGGGATCTCAGTTTTGGAGCAGTTTCTGAGCTGTCACCTGGATTCCAGTTTCCAAATAAAGGGATAATATTTTGGAGTGTTTTTTCTTTGGATTATTGTGAGATTGAAGGGGGATTTGGGATGAAATTAAATCACCACCAACTGCTTGTTAATTATTTGTATTTTCAGCGCTGTTTTATTGCTCAGACCAGAGCTGGATCTCAGTTTGGTTCATTTCTGTCTATTTCTGTCCATTTCTGATAATTTATGTCCATTTATGTCCATTTATGTCAATTTATGTCAATTTCAGTCCATTTCTGATGTGATTCCCTCTGTTTGATCCCATAAAAAAATCAAGTTTTTGGCAGCCTCCCATTTCCTACTGGACATCTCCATCTCATCCCTAAGAATTTAAGGACAAATTCCATTTTTACTTGGATTTCCTCTCTCACGGAGAGGTCTGGGGACATTTCTTACCTCCGGCACCACAAAAGGTGGTGATTAAAGAATTAAACACACAAATAACTCCGGAACTGAGGAATTCTTCCCCACCACCCAACGAGATTTGCTGGGAGCTGAGGAACAATGACGGCACCCCCCAATTTCCTGGGAATATTTCATCTTGGAAACAAAACACAGCTAATGTGTTTCCTTTAAATCTTTAACTCCCTGGATAAAACTCGAGGGGAACGTGGAATTGCAGCCCCGGAGCGGGGGAAGCCTGGAGTGCCTGGGTGTAATTTGGGTCTGCCTAAAAGCCGGGCCAGGTGTCCCTCCGGTGCCACCACCCAAACGCCTTCTCCAGGTCAGGGTGACCTCCAGGGCTTCCCGGAATATCCCAAGGTGGAAGGGAACCCCAAGGATCATGCAAAGAACCATCCCCAAGAGTCCCCAGAGCTTCATCTGGGGTTTTTTGGGGGTCCTGGGTCAGCTGGAGCCCCCCAGGAGTAGGCAAGGATCTGATGAGGCTCAGCCCAAGCCCAAACCCCTGGAAGATTGAGGAGAAGGAGATTTTGGTCTTCATGGAGGAGCTGGAGCGTGGCCAGGGATGGGAACGGGGCTGGAGCAGAGGAGAAGGTTCTGGAAAATCCTGAGGGAGCTGAGGGGGCTCAGCCTGGAGAAAAAGGGGATCCAGGGGGAATTCTGGGCTCTTCCAGGGGGGATTTGGGATCTGATCCCAGGGAACAGGGACGGGACAAGAGGGAACGGCCTCGAGCAGTGCCAAGGGAGGTTCAGAGCAGGAAATTTGGGGAAATCCCTCCTGGAAAGGAGAAAAGGTCTTGGAAGGGGCTCAGGGAAGGTTGGATCCCCATCCATCCCTCGGAGGTGTCTGAGGAATTCCTGGATGTTGCTCTGGGTGTCCAGGTGGGGATCGGACACAGCTTGGACTCGATGACCTTGGAATTCTTTCCCAGCCTCCGGGATCCCGGGATTCTAAAGAGCTGCAGGATCTGCTCCTCAGGAAGGTGGGTGCTCATGGGTGAATTTGGGGTTATTTGGGGCATCTTAGAAGTTCCACCCTTGCAAATAATTAATTTTAATACTTCATGAGTGCCTGTGGAATGAGCCAACACCACGGAGCCAATTCCCATTCCTGCATTGCCCCATGGCTCACCGAGGTGTGGTGCTAAGATCCAATTTAATCGTCCATTAATGAGAAAGATATTAATTAAATCTTCATTTGTCTTCATTGCCTCATTAAAGCTGCTCGTCTCAGCAAGAAAATCTGGCAGCTTCCTCTGAGTTCCTTCAAGGATTAAAGCCGGAGCTGGCGGCACAAAACCCTGTAAAATGAATTTACGGTTGGATTTAATGAGGGAAAAGGAAATTTTCCCAGGGAAAACAGAGCAGGGTTTTGTTGTCCAGAGGAAATATTGGAATTTTCACTGGAATGGATTTCCCAGGCCGCTCCATCCCTGGAATTGTCCAAGACCAGGTTGGAGCATCCTGGGATCATGGAAAAAGAGTTGGAATAAGACAATTTTTAAGAACCTTCCCAACCCAAACCATTCCATGATTTTATGATTCTTAAGCCTGAAAAGGGATTTTAAGGAGGGAAAAGCAGCCCCCTCCCTTCCCCTGGGCCTGAGCCAAGCCTTGGCCTCCCTGACCTCATCCCGAATTTTGCTGCCGTGCAATATTGGGAATATAATGATGGGTTATTGGGAATAACCCGATTAATAACTGGGTGTGCCCCAGCCCCAGCTCCACCCTCTGGATGGAGAATCCTTGGGAAGGTCGGGTCACTTTTGGGCACTGTTCCCCTAATAAATGAGCATTTTACCCGGCCAGGAGTGGGGAAAGGGATCGGGCACTGCTTGGACACAACCTTGGAGAAGTTTTCCAACGCCAGCAATTTGGGGATCTACTTTTAAAAAAAAAACCAAAAACAAACCAAACACAAACCACAAAGCTAAAAAAAAAAAAGGAATAATTCCCATTCCTCCTCTTCCAGGAGGAACTGGAGATTGTCCAACTCCTGGAGCAGGATGGGGTGGAGCCGATGAGTCAATCCCGAGGTCTTGGGGTCCACCCCGCCCGTGACCTCATTGCTGGAGTTTTCCCAACCCTTTCTCCAAGA